GTGTGTGTGTGTGTGTGTGTGTGTGTGTGTGTGTGTGTGACAGCTGGCTAACACAAGCTCACGTAACATTCTCACCTGCTTTGTATCATGACATATAGGGGGAGAAAAAAATAAAACAAGTAAAATTTGATCTGCAACAAAATTGCAAAACTAAAAAAAAAGATTTTACTAAAACTTAGATTGAATTAGCTAAAAAAATCTAAAGAGTGCAAAAGAAAGCAAGCAAGTGCAGTTTTTTATGGCAGGAATTTTAGATTCTTGAAATAAAAATCCAAACTTTAAGTATTGATAATGTTAATGGGAATACGTTACCTACAAAATGTTTGAATATCAAAGTRTTCCATGCTGACAAAATGAAACAAACGTGCATTTTGTACATGTTTACMTTTTTGTGCTTGTAATGACCGACCCAAACAATACAAAAAACGACTTTGTTGGACGTTTACTTTGAAGTTACCACGACATYGACCGATATAGCAACCAGCGTATTGTTGCTGTTGCTTTTCCTGTTTCCCTTGAAGTGTCTCAGTGAGACATTGTCATCCTGGGCGGGCTTCAGAAAATCCTCTCAGCGCTGTCTCGTTTCCCTCCTCCTACCTGGATATTGACCGTGGGAACAGACAAGAATAGCAGAGACAGCACCCCCGCCCCTCCCCCCAACGTGGACCTGTCTGACAGCTTGCGTCACTTAAGGCTAAGCTGCAGTTTTGGCGTTAATTTATAATCTGCACAAGCTTTTTTGATCACTTTTGCTTTGATTGCGAGGGAAAAAAATTTCAGGATAACATTAGCAAATGTTCTTACCCCAAAAAGTCTCCCAAAATATCTTATCTCACCAATGTGTAGCTAACATGACAAAACAGGGAGGTATGACTCATGAAACGCTTATCGCAAACTAACTAGTTGATTTTTATCTTCAAAGTATCAGCAGACGCCCACTTCGGGCACTTGCTGGGGAAACTGCTAATTGCTATCTAAATATCCTTGACAGAGGACAAAAAACATGCCGTAAAATTTTTTCCCCTCCCCCCTTTTTCATTCCTCTATAGATCTGTTCATTTTATCCACATCAGTGAATTCTTTAATCACCAGCTAAGTCAGATGAGTTTAATGTTGTCATGGAAACTTCCAGAAGTGTGACAATGGATGCATTTAGTTCAGAGCGACTTGGCAGCTTGTGCAGTCCTGTGGAGAGGATAAGTAGTTGTCAGAAGGTTTTACAGTTTGTGGCAGGGTAATGTTACCCCCCCCCC